CTCAACATCTGTAATCAAATCATAATGAGATATCACCTAATTCCAGTGAGGAGGCCTTTATCCATAAGTCCCCAAACAACAAATGCTAGAATGGATGTGGAAAGACAGGAACACTCACACACTGTTGATGGGACTGCAAACTAGTACCACCTCTATGTGAGAGCACCAGCAGTGAGAATAAGATGGAGTCAGTCAGGCTAGGACGGAGATGACACAGCTGGCCTGGCTGGTTTAGGTCCTACCTGACCTTCACCTCATGTCTTCCATCCTTGTTGTTTTGTAAATTTGGCTTGAGTAGTTTAGGGCGATTGGATTAGAATGTTATATGGTTCATGGGTTATGTCAATTGTGGTTTGTTACAGGTCATGGGTTATGACAATTACTATTGTTTAAGATAAGTGTTAGTATGGTTCTCACTTTTCACTTTGATGTATAAAACTGTGATTGTGGAAATGGAAGAACAGAACAGTCTTGGAGAGGCTACTCTCACTGTTCTCCAGAATTGCTGGCCTTCTGACAAATAAAATTTGGTGGACTTTTTCCTGTCTCTGAATATTGAGTAACAGTGACAGGAGCTGGAACCTCTTAGTCTGGTTACATGGAAAGTAGTATGAAGATTTCTCAAAGAACTAAAAAGTAGACCTTCTATTTGATACAGTAATTCCACCCAAATACACTTTGGGTATTTACCCAAAGGAAAAAAAATAAATTTTATAGGAAATACACCTGTACTTGAATGTTGTAGCAGCACAATTCACAGTCACAAAGATGCAGAAACAAAGCAAGTGCCCATGGATACACCAGTGGGTTAACAAAATGTGGTATATGTGTACCATGGAGTACGACTGAGCCATACAAAATGGCGAACTAATACCTTTCGTAACAACCTGGATGGAACTGGAGACTGTTCTTCTAAGTGAAGTATCATGAGAATGGAAAAGCAAACACTATGTTGTCATTATTAAATTGGAACCAATCTATTAACACTTAAGTGCACATGTGGAAAAAACATTCATCAAAATCAAGAAGGTAGAGGAAGAGGGGATGGGTAAATTCACACCTAATGGGTACAGTGCATATCTTATGAGTGATGGGCACACTTACAACTTCAACTCAAATGCTACAAAAGCAATTTATCTTCCCAAAACATTTCTACCCCCATAGTAGTCTGAAATAACAACCTCATTGTCAACAACAACAACAAAAACAACAGGGCAAATATAATGGCAACTTGGACCATGGGATTCAGACCACAGATCTGACAAATGTCAGTTTGACGTTTCTTTTCTTTTTGTTTTTACTTACATGACATGGTTTCAAGGCAAAAAAGGGGCTTTTTGAATCACAGTAGACCATCAAGAGGATAAACTCACATTTCTGCAAAAGATGGAGGAGATTTTAAGTGAAAAGCAGCGTGGAGAGTAAGCACTCATACACGTGCCCAGACAGAACATGGGGCTCCCCAAACCTGTGGACTCTTCGAAACAAATGTGGAGAAAGGGTATTCTTTGGATTGGGAATTTTCCTTGGATACAGATTATAGCGTTAGGTCATGGATAAAGCACATCGTGGGCCAGCAGTCTGCCTCTGGGCTCCATTTCTCAAGCCCTCTGCACATTTGTGCCTCTCTCAGCTGAACGGAAAGGAGGAGGCTTCAGGTTCACGTTTCCACTCACCAACTGTTCCTCAGGCAGCATCTGTCTCATCAGGACCTCAGATTCCTGATGACGTGGCGGGCTTTCTGGGCACCTTTCTTGGAGAGCCTTCATCTCACAGAAGATGCAACTCCACGGATCCCTGAGCGGTTGGGCATAATGTGAGCATGGGCAGGTTTTGTGACTCAGGCCCCGTTTCTATGTTTGCTAAAGTTGTCTGTTAAAGAAAGACTCCTGGTTTCCACCTTATATGCAACTTCCCTCCTGGAGGCCTCTGCACGAGAGCCCCATTTGCGTCCGATAGCCAAAGGCACATCCTCCCCTCAATAGTGGTGGCAGGGGTGACAGTATGAGTAATATGCCCCAGTGAGTGACGGACTTTCATTCACCTCAAACTTGGTGTTCCCATCTGAGCCACTGCAAGCTTAATAGTGAATCCTGCTTGCCACAGTCAAATTTTGGAAATTAATGCCTCAAGCACTGGAGTCTTACTGAGTCACTCAGACCACAGTAAAAATCAGGAGACCAGTTCTGACCCCTCAACTTTGCTGAGTATGAACAGAGCACAAGCTACAGGCACCATCCCCTCTGCAACTGGCTTCTATACACATAGATTCCATGCTGCAGAAACTTGAAGAGGAAATCTACCGACAGGGTGTCAGATATCTTCCATTTGCCCCATGATACTTTTCCAACCTTTTCTACTGGGGTATCTGTGCTGGGAGGCTCTTGATAATCAGGTGAACACAATGGCCCATCCTAGTGGTGTCAGTGTCTTCACATGCTAGCTCATGGAGCCCTTGTAACATACTCATGGTTCAGAGAGGGGACTACACATGAGCTGAATTAAAAAGGCGATGTATGTTCTGTCTCGACAGATTGCCCACCTGGCTAGAAGCAGAGGTTTTATGAAGATTGGTCTGATAATACCCTGGAAGCCGATGTATCACATTAGCCTCTGAAGTTATGGAAGGACAATACTCTGCTTTCAGAGGGACAGACATTCTGGTAGAGATCATCCTTCTGCCCACAGAAATTCTGCCCACAATACCACACACAGGCCTTTTTGATCTCCATGGTGTCCCACACACAATCACCTCTAGCAAATGCCCATTTTACAGCGCAGATGTCACTGACGCCCTCAGAATTCAAATTCACATCTTTATCATGTACCCTGTGACTTAGAGTCAGCTGGAATGATAGGTTCAGGGCTGGCCTTTTGAAGGCTCATTGTATCACCAGTTTGATCAAATTTATGATATTTCCAGAGCAGGTGGCATATGCTTTAAACCATCACCCAGCATATGATGGCTTCACCCATCAGAGTGCAGAAGTCTGGGAACCAAGTAGGGGAGGTAAGGATGACACTTCTTACTATTACACCTAAGAATCCTTCAAGGCTTTTAACTTGAAGGAAGGGCTTAGGTTGGGTGTGTCTTACCTCTCAGGTTCCACAGGTGGGATGTGGCAGTTCTCATGAAAGGATCTTGGGCAGGTGTCACAGCAGAACAGCTTTCCCCATTGTCCGCACACCTCACATTTATTGGAGTTTTCTGGCTAGAAACGGAGATGATGTCAATATCACTGGAGTCAGTGAGACTCTGGGACTCTAGAACTATAG